GAAATGTACAATTACTTTTCTTGATCTTGCACCAGTGTAGCAATGTGGTATTGATGGCTGGTCGTGTATTACAAAACTCAAAGATAACATATCAATCTCAGGCAGCCTTTCCACTAGCCCGGGTTAAAACTAAAACGGGTTCAAAGTTATCCGTTTCTGCGTCGCGTTCCCACTAACCCACTTGAAAAACGGATAAGTTTGAAAACAGGTCTCAGAGTGGGTCAGTTTTTACCCGGATATCTTTTGACCCATCTGCGAGTTAATGGAAACGCCGAAACCCGGATAACTTCTGACCCACGTGCAACAACAGCAACGTTTAAGAATTGAGATGGCGCCGGAAATAAAAAAAACAAAATCTTCGATGTCGACCTACAACGATGGAAATTGAAGGATTACTCTGAATTCTCTTTCAACTTTTCACCCCGAATACATTTTAACCCGGCTTAGCGGGAACGATCAAAAACGGATTAAAAAAGGGGTCGAAGAAAAATGCCGTTTCCATTGACTCACTTTGAAAACGGATAACTTTTAACCCGGTTTCTTTCAACCCAGGCTAGTGGAAAGGCTGCCTCAGAAGTAACTTATAGATGCGACGGGATCACCATCCATTGAAACTATCTTTCATGAATTCGTACGCCATTGCGTTAGGTATCGTTAAGCTGTAGGATAGGTAATAAACACGTATTATAGGAATGTGTTTTTGTGTTCTGATGTCTAGGTCATTTTCGTTGGTGAGACGGGTTGGATCAGAATATGATCAGAATATGATTTGGGTTTCTGTCATGACTTTTATGAATAATATTGTTTGTCAAGTTCATTAATAATTGCTATTAACATTAGATATTGCCAGATCTTCGGTAATTACAAGAATAGTTTCTACTTTTAACTGAGTCAAATCTTACTAAATGAAATATTGCTGTTTTTCAGCCAAAAATCTAGTTATGGAGCCTTGCCTTTCATTGCAAAAACTTTGCCGGTCGTGTAATTCATTTAGCATACGTCTTGTACCCTTGTGCCATGCCTGTTCCACCAGCTCTCAGACTGCTGCGCAAAAGGCTTTGAAGTCAGATAGAGAGCATTACAAATATTGCTCTTCACAGAATGCGATGTATTTTCAGGTAGTAATGCTTATCTGCCTCAAATTCAGAACAGGCCTAATGACCGTGGAAGCTTTTTTCAATTTTTATTTCGGTTTTGCGTTTTATTGAGTTCAAATACTTTTAGTAGGGTAGCAGGCGGCTCTACATGGTCTCATGCTCTTTTAATGTCTAGCGATGGTTTCATGTTATAAAATTATATTTATGGCTATGACGTTTCCATCTTTGTGGCGTTAAAGATCGTCCCAAATTTGACTTCAGACACTACACACATGAGCACTTTGCTGTTGGTGCTGTACACTGATCTGAAAAAAAGACTGGATCGAACAACCTATTGTTCTCCTACATCAGCACAATGAAGCTGATCGAGCCTCTCCATCTTGAGACCTCTCGCGCCTAAAGCTTTGGGCTGCCATTTGTTAAAACGGTGCACACACAGTGCTGCGCCTTAAATTGTGCATTAACCATTAAATTCGAAAATATTCTAAGATATAACAGGCCTAAGAAAATAAGTGAACAGTGAATTCTTCGTTACATAAGCTTAGTACTATAGCAAAAATGTTTAACGTCACTTGCGAATGATGCTTGTGCTCATTCGCAAGTTTTTGTTTCAACGGTTACTTTGAATTTTGCTATAAAAAAGCAAGTTCAACTGAAACCAACATGATTGCTTTCTAGTCTCTAGTTTCATACAACATAGCGAGGTCTCAAGATGAACGCTGCAATGTGGAATCAACGCTGGGCTGGAGAAGCTCGATCCAGTCTTTTTTTAGACCAGTGGTGCTGTAGCACCCAAGACCGGTTGCTGTAGCAACGCCTCGATTCCAAGCAGACTTGAGCGAAAGACCTAAACGTGAAAAAGCTTGATAGCTGCTTTGTTGGTTTTCAATTTTTTTTTAATTATTCTGCTGTCAAATGAAAAGCCTGCAACACGAATATAAAGTAAAGTAGGCCTGTGTCTGCGACTGAAGATGCTTGTTTGTGATTATCACCGCTTCTGAGTGGACATGCCAATATGTTACTTGGTTTGTCTGCTACTTGCTTGAAACAATGCATGGGTTACCGTTCACATTTACAAAAGATAATACGAAATGCCAGTGAGCAGGTTACATGCTTAGCGTACAGACAGAATTGACCGATGCGAATCAAAGATCAGTGAGCACCAGTATTTTTATGAATAATGAATAAGGCCTAGGCCCGTGAATCGAAAGCAGCTATCGGGTGACTTATGTTGATTCCTCGGCAAAATTTACTGCTCAAATGCAGCCTATGTGCTATGTATATTGTCTGTAATATAAACGCGATACAAGGTGTGTGAATTATTGTCAGATATGAGACACTTCTGCGCTGTTTTTCGACCATGAGGCATGCTCTTCTCAATATTTTTAACTTGCCTAGGCCATGCTAGGCCGGAGATTTTCTATCAGAAGATTGTTTCATTCGATTACGCTTGGATTTTTCTTCGTTCTGGTTATGTGCTACTCAAAGTGGGACTTCATACAAGATAGTTTTCGTCCTGATTTGTTACGAGTCGAGAGAAGCCTTGAAAACGATGACATCGACGAATTTGGTTATGATTTTACAAGGTAGGTTATGACTGGTTTATAATTGTCATATTTCAGAAGAATGTCTATACGTATATAACTGCGTCTAAAAAAGGTTTGTTTGATGAAGCCCAGTAGAGAATTCAAATTGCAACATGAGGCGTGCTTATAAAATAGTATTGCTAAGGGACCAAGCAAAGAAATTAGGAATATTTTATAGATTTACGCTGATGTTTGATATATTAATCTTTAGAAGGTAATTCCTTTTCACGGTTCCACCGTATGCTTCGGATACTAATTTGTTTGTTAATTCAATTACCCAGTTTATTTTTTTATTAGATAGAAGCTCTTTGATAGATCTTTAATTTAAACAAAGCATTTTGCAATCGACGGAGGGTTGGTATTAGTCGAAAGTATCTTATCTTTCGCAAAACAGAAAACCAGCTCTCATATTAGTTGATATCTTTCCAAGGCATATGTCGCATTAGCTGTTGGCTAATAAAACAAAAGCGTTTAGAGTGGAATTCCTTTGTTTCGTTGCTTTTCATTTCTTTTTCTTGAATTTTTACTGCCGTGAAAATTCACCCTCGATTCCATGCTATGTACTAAACAAGAAAGATAATAGTATTGCGTTAGCCAATCATGTTCACGACACATGCCCTTTAAGAACGAACTGGGTCACTTGAATGATTACACATGTTGGGATAAATACAAGTTTGCCTACATGCGCCATTTTGGATGATTGAAAATGCGTTAAATGACAAATCAATGCATTTCCATATGGGTATTACCAAGCAGGGACAAAATAATAATGATAATAATAATGAAACATTTTTATTTTATATTCTTCTACTTACAACAGTAACCTCACTTTACAGGTAGTTACTATCGGCTAGCCTGGTGACAAATCTGCTAATTTTATAAAAGTTATAACATATAATTAAAATCATATGAGTGCAAATAATAATAATAATAATGATAATAATAATAATAACAACAACATACCCGAGAAATGCATTTTTAAAAGCGGGACAATTTTAAGAGCGGGGCAATTATGTGTTCTCACCGCTTGATTATCCAGAAGCAGTGATCCAAAGACTATAAAAGTCATATACCTAAATCCGAACATTAAGCAAATTAACAAAGAAGGGAGCATCAACCCCCCCTCTTCCCTCAGTATAAATCAGAATGCAATGAAACACCGTACACTCAATCCTGTTTCTCGTGCTTCTCAGCATACCGGAAACTTTTTGGAAAATTGTTGAAATTTGCTAAAACAACCCCTGAGAGAAGCAAACATTTTTAAACATACTTGAGCTTTTCGTTTGATAGTCTTCAGAGTATAGAACATCACAACATGGATCAAAATAGGCCAGCCAAAAACCAAGTACATGACTGTAAAGGTAACTCAACGTTGAACACTCAGTTCTTGAACACTCTGAATAGTGTCAGACGAGAAGCTAAAGTATGTTTCAGAATGTTCGCCTTTTCTCGTAGCCATTTTTAACTTCTATAATGGTGCCCCTTTTGGTAATTGTGGACAGGTTTCAAAAGTTTTTGTCGTTGACAGCTGTGATGAAAGTAAGGTATAGGCTATACAATTTTACATTTTAAATTGATTAGGCCTTTATATTGATCACGAGTAGTAGCAAGATCCGGCAAACATCTCGCTATATCGAACTAAAATCCTTGTCCATTGATATGCCCTTTTTATGTAAGGATTCGTCGGTATTTAAAACCCCCGCTATCTCGAACTCTTCTCTTAGTCTCTACAGAATTCTTATTAGCAGGTTTTCACTATATTTTGTATGCAAGGATACTTGCCCAAACCAGGTAAAATGACGTCACAGCTGTTTCTGTTTCTCTTTCAGCTTCGCAACTTTCAAAATTTTAGAAAACAGTTTATGCTAAAGTATGTTAGAAAAGAGTTGACATGTTTGTAAGAAATATCATTTTGAAGCATTGCTAAATTTTACATCTGGACTGTTTTTTAAATGTGCGACGTGAACAATTTTTCTATGTTCTTGTTACAAACAGGGGTCGTCGCTTTTGTCTAAAAATGGGTTGCCGTGATCCTATTTGCTGGCAAAGTGGATGGGCCATCCTTTGTTTGCCACTATATTGGAAAACTTGCCTATGAAGCCCCCTAAATGGCAAAAACGTCTCGTTTTTACGATGAAATTTTCTTCCAAGGGGTTTAACACCCCCGTAGCGACGGCCCAGGTGACAAACTGTACATTTACTATTTTACCAATAACTATTTTACCACTATAGGCCGTAATAACTGTATTATCCCCGAAGTTCTCATTTGTAATTTTCGATTGACTGCATCATAACGTGACCTGCATCACAGACATCTACTTTCACGTTCACTGTTTTGAGCACAAGCTTTTCAAATGATTGTTCTACTCTTATTAAGAATGCATCTCGTTTCAGTGTTTCGGAGAATCTTTCAAGTACGGTAGAGGATATTGTGGAAGGATCGTCATTTAGTGGGTTTGATAAAGGACTCATCCGTCTGAAAAAGACGAGGAAAAACACGCTTCCAAAAATGCCAGTGTTTGATTATGGTAGAGATAGAGATGTTGATGTCGAGGGTGTAGAAGATTACGTCATGTGGCACGAGAACTTCAAAACGGATACTCCTCTCCCTGTGATACCAAGGTAAAAGTCTTATTAGCTTTGTTGTATGTACCCTGTTTGCACTATAGAAAAATCTACCCAGGTACAAACTGGCAGCCGTGTTTCTCACTGCATTAAATCAAAGGAGCAGTATAAAATTGTTTGAAGATCGAATTATGGTTTCTTTCAGTCGCGCATGTGCAGTGTCAAATGTAGGAAAAATTCAGCGTCTGTACGCATGCGTAAAATGAAGTATCAATTACCAAACCCCTCCCAGTAACGTTTTGAAGTATGAAAGCACAACCCATTTTGCTGATCAAAACTCTAAAGCAGTCTGTTTGTAGAGAGTTCCCCAGGCTTCTTTGCTCGCACCATTCCTTATTATTGTATATCTGCCTGCTACTAAATTAGTTCTGATGTCGATAGAATTTTGGTTTTGCATAAGTATTCATAAACTCTACTAGCTGAAAGAAACTTTCGAAAATGCTTCAAGGAGCAAGATAACTGCACTTCTTATCCAAGGATTTAAACCAAACTCAGAAACTTTGAGACAAAGCAAAAGCAAATCTTATCATTTCTTTGCAAATCCCGAAAGTTCTTGAATGTACGATTGATGCTCTAACAATGGTTTGGCTATAAACAATCCATCAAGAGGTGCTCCGAAAAGCCCATAACTTTTGCTGTTTATCTTCTAGGCAGCAGAAATGCAGCAAGCCAAGCTTGAACATAGCTTTCCTGAAGACCCACTTTACCGGAAGTGACGTCTTGACAAACATCTTCAACCGGCTTGGTGATCTTCGAGATTTGAATATGGCGTTGCCTAGTGACGGACTTTCAACATTCTACTGGCCTATGCGATTCCAGTGGAAGTATATCGACATAACTCTTTTGAATGGTTCTCTGCCGAACATAATATGTAATCATGCAAGGTATAATGGTGACGTCATGGATAATATAATGACACCTGGAAGTGTATACGTCACAATTCTGCGAAATCCCGCCACCCAGCTGGAAACAACTTTCCACAATTTGAGATTCGCAGATCTTCTTGGCATTGAGAATGTCGAAGATAAAGTTGAAACTTTTATTTCTAATCCGAAAGTTTACATACAAAATGTTATTAAACAGAGAAAATTCAAGGTAAGTATCGTTTTGTCATTTTCGCCACAAAAAGAGGTCCGTGTCACTTGAACAAGCTGGTATCCCCAACAACAAGTTGAACAATTCCCAGACTCGAAATTCCCCAACCTGTTCTTTTCAGAAGAAATCGATCAGTAACATAGGAATGATAGAATTATTAGGGACTTTATTGTTTGAAAACAACAGAAATAAAAGAGATGTTCATGGGAAGCAAAGAATTCTTCATAGTTTTTTGGGGGGCGGAAGGGGTACGAACATTTCAAATGATTGACAGTAATACTTATGGCCTTGGTTTTCATAACATATTACAGAGTTTTTGGTCCGGACTAATTGCCTGCTCCAGGTTCCATGATAATGTTCATGACCCTGATTTAAACTGCCTTGATTAGAATTTCTAAGCAAAAATAATGTGCTTTATGGCCTATAATCTGTAGAAAAATATTGCCCTCTTGCCTCCATGCCCAACCTTTAAGTGATCGTTTGCTATACTATGTTGCTTTCAATATCTTGTCACGAGTAAAATAATTTTTTGGAGTGGGTGTCACTATCCAACTGATATGAATTAATTTTTCTCCTAGGACTCACTGAACCTGATTAAGAACGGGATGTTCTTTGATTTGGGCTTAAGCACGACAGAATACCACAAAAAAGACGTTATTAGATCCACTATTTGGGAACTATATGAGAAGTTTAGTTTAGTTTTGATATATGAATATTTGGACGAGTCATTGATTCTGATGCGTAGAAGATTTTGTTTAGAATTAGACGATATTTTGTACCTCAAAATGCATCACACTAACCAAAATGCAAATAACAGAGAAAAGTTTTCGCCGGAATTAATCGAATTAATACGCACATGGAATTCAGCCGACATGGAACTTTATACCTTTTTCAACAACACTTTGTGGAAGGAGATATCTTATGAAGGCGACAGCTTCTGGGAAGAGCTTAGAGAATACAGGATGAAGCTTCGAGAAATGGAAATCGACTGTTTAGGTGAAGAGTCATCTATAACTGGAAGCGGCCTAAGCCAAAATCTGATGATGGAGCAAGCGGTTAGGATAAATCCGAATGTATCTGATACGAACTTGTATCTTTGTAAAAAATTAATCATGTCCGAGGTAGAATATTTAGATTATTTTCGAAGGAAGGAGTTGTTGTCTAGAAAGCGATAATCACCATGAAAATTCCAATTTGTTTTGTAGCAAAGTTCTTATAATTGTTTTAGAAAATGTGGCGTACTCTATCTCGTTCAATGCGCTTTCCTATCTCGTTCAATGCCCCCCTCATAAACGTGCCCTTGAAATTGGCATTTACTATCATCATGGAAATTTATTTTGAAATTTTGACCGCCCTTTTCAATAAATTTTCCTGTTAATTAATTCACCACTACATTTTAAGAAATGGGCGTTGATTAAATCGTAAAATGACTGCAACACTTTCTTTGTTTCCTCGTTTTTCACTCCTAATCTAAGCATAATTCGCATTGCACTACTACGGCGCATCGCCATTTTGCCATCTCCCCCCATTGAAAGCTTGCCAAATGCGAGGCAGGGCTGTATAAGAGGGGGGCTCAGGGGGCTCAGTCCCCCTCCTCTTTTTTCTGGGTAATTCTAGAATATCATGGCTAATTTCTGTCAGGATCGAATCTTTGGTATTACTTTTTGACATTTATATTCATGTTTGACCTCTTGATAACTGAAAACTCAATAAACGCTATAAAATGAAAACTCAATAAACGCAATATTTTTGCTACTTTGAATTCTTATTTTTGAGATTTTTCCGCTCAAGTAACAGGTAGACATTGGAAGATGATTTAACTCTAGAAAATATGGAAAGGTAAAGAAATTGATATTGTCATCACCATCCCCCCCCCTCCCCAATAGTATCTCAATAGTAAATCAATATTTCAGGTAAAATCGGCTCGGTGGAAGAAATGCTTTAGGTATTTCAGAGACCTTCATGTCATAAAATCAATGAAGGATCAAGCAAAGGTAGTTGCTTCGTTGGTTAAATATGATATTCCTTGATATGGATGAAGGTAAACAAACTAATGATTTGAAGATTTCTTGTTGGCACTTAATCGAAAAATCCAGGCCCTCTTTAGGTAAAATTGTGTCTTGTATCCATCTCCCCTAAAGTTTCTCGTTAGAAGCGTCAACTGCAATTCACTATGAGCTCCAGATTTTTTTAACATTCAAAAGGCATGCTAAGATGGAAAAAGCGATCTAAATCGACAACCAGTGCTGCTTGTTACCTAGCTTTAGAAGTAACTGACAATATGGTAGTTCTCAAGGCCACGGCGAAATTGTACCAGTTGTTTTTATCTGCTGTTCAATTTGTTTGCAAATAATATTTTCAATAGGATTAGGAGGATTGCTTTAGTGAAATGTGCTTGAAAAAGTGCATTTTCCAGGGAACTGGAAGCATCAAAATTCGAAAATTCTCTGGCCCTTCGGCGGCAACCGGTGCCGCCTCGGGTAGTAACTATATCCTTTGCCCGTTCCGATATAGAGATTTAACAAACTATTAGGAAAATTCCGTTATTATCAAATTAAAATGAAAGTTGCGGATTGTATGCAGAGTTATATTGACAAAATGCATTGCAGTGGTTTGTGACAGAAACTAAAGAATTTCAGGCAAAAAAATTTTAATGAGGTAAATTTGTAGTCCAACCCCCCCCCCCCCCAACAAGGCTTGCCTCGCGACGGCCCTGCTGCTCTCCTCCATTAAATGTTTGTCAGCCTATCATTCATAAAAGCCATTAGAAAAAGATTCCCGTGGAACCTCTGAAAAGCAGGTTTTACACACGTGAGCTCATTGTAGGCAGAAACATTCAAATCCGCCAACGGCGATAAGTTATGAAATTCTTCTATAAACTATTCGACTACAAAAAACAACGTGTTCGATTGAATAATGGCAAGACCCCTACGACCACGACCAGGCTAACGACAAGACTAACCCAATTATAAAGCAACCCTTTTATACTCTTAACAGAACTTTAAAACATGCCTGAACAAAGGAACAGTAAAGTCAATTCGTACTTGAAGACCCGCTGATCGCCGTACTCTCGAAAATTTGTTACTCTAGAACGGCCTCAAATTGAACGTTGCTCTTTTGATGCACCGAACTCAATGCATAAATTACGAATAGGTAAGGCCTGGTTCAAACGTCGCACTTCTCATGTGCCGAACCTAACTCTGTTTGGAGCGACACTTGAGTATGTTTATCGCGACTCCCGTTTCAAACGTCGAACTTAATTATGTCGCGCCAAATGGGTTTTAGGATTGCTACATGAAGTATCTTGGATAAGGCGCGCAATCTCAATATTTGTTTGAAATACATGCGCCCTCCAAGAAAGAAATGAATTCTGGGAAGGAAAATAAATTGAATATAATTATGCATTGAGTTCGGTACATGACAAGTTCGACGCCTGAAACCGTGCCGTGCTGGAGTCGTGCAGCTCGGCAAGCTCTGCCGGTCCAAACTAGTCTGCCGCTCCTAACTCAATCTGCCGTACCAAATTGATTCAAACGTCGCGCCCCTCATGTACTTAATCCTCGAGTTAGGCTCGGCACATGAGAAGCGCGACGTTTGAACCAGGCCTAATAGTAATTTATTTTGACTTAAACGAGGCAGGGCATGAACAGGAATGATTTTTCAATTGATAATTAAATTACCAAAATACGACATGTTAAGAGCGGACGTGTCGCGCTACAGTCGCATCGAATTGCATTCGGTTCGGCGCATGAGAAGAGTGACGTTTAATCTGTCAATCAACTGGTCAATTCTTGATTGACGGGTGGCTTAAAGGCAGTCTGTCCCCTATTGTGCTCAACTTTTTTTTCACGTGAGTGAAATTCACGCACCGTTGAGCTTGATCGATAATTTAACGATTTATACCAATCAGAGACAACTTTGATTCGAGGGCTTTTCAATCAAATGGCTGTGTTCTCGTTGTAGTGAAGCTGTGGCTAGAAAAATTTAGTTCCCTGTTTGGTTTCTGCGACAGATATGTCAACAGCGAAAGGAAAAGCTTCCATTATCATCATTCAATTCCAGTAATAAAATCTTTTTGCCATTTCTGATAGCTTTATGCGCGCAGTCTCAAATGTTGTCCACTGACGCAGCTAGACTAGCCAATCCGTTAAGGCAGGAAGACCAATTGTTCATATTAGCCAATCATTGAGGGGACAGACTGCCTTTAAGCGTCTTTAGTACCTGTCCATTACCTTTAAACTCACCAACACTGTCGCTAATAAAAATATCTCCCCTTCAAATCCTAGAATAAAATGAACTGAAGTTGGCCTTGAGTTACAATGCCTGGCAACGTTTCTCGAAACACCAAGAAACTGACATTTTATTTACATCTTTTTAATATTTCTACCTTCGCCCCCTTTTCTCCAAGAACAATGGTAGATCGTAATGGTAGAGTGATAGAGAAAAAACAGTCTTCTTCTACCCATTCGAATCATCACCATACTTACAATGCACCAATTGAATAATTATCATAAGTGACATAACGTTAATCTTCATAATTGACACATAATGTGATAACTTTTAAATATGTCCAGGCGCGCAACTACGGGGGGGTCCTGGGGGTCCAGACCCCTGCCCTTTTTCTCAAAAGGGGAAAAGTGCCCTTTTTCCTGGAAAATTGCTTGAATATTTTAACTATTACGCTAAAATGGTTGGTCATACGGTAAATGACACACTCCGGAGATGTAATGGACCTCGCAGGAATACAGATAAATGATTTAGTCAAACTTTCACGCACTTGTTGGGTCGAACGTCATCATGTTGCAGTAATAGAGTCTATCTTCAAGCCCCAACTCTACAGCGTGTTTTATGTTGCGCTACGCACTGGCTTTGAAGAAGAATGGTTCTGGGACTCAAAAACCAAAATAAAGGCACAAGATTTTGAACGGGATAGAGCCTCTACGACCTCTGGTAAAAAGTTACAAGAATAAAAACCAAGACATTTTTCAAGCCTGTCACATAGTTGACAGGGTCATAGAAGACCTTTGCATGAAACGAGCGAATGCAGAGAAATATTTTCGGACTGGTATTAGCAAGCAGTAAATATGGCACAAAAAGTTGATGTTCAGCTGTTCCGTTCCTTGTCAGTATTACAAATCAGCTGAAGGCAAGACTTGGAGACAGAAACCAGCTGAAGGCAAGGCTCGTGGAACTGTTCAACCTCCTCCAATCTGTAGTGCGAAGCAAAGAATTCAATTATAATATTTTAAAGCGCAAAATGTCTTCGGATATGGAAGATGATGGGTTGCTATTCAAAAGTGAGCTGGCGCTGGGAAAAGGAGATGACAGCAGGGTCGCCGAGAGGGGGACAAAGGGGCAAATTGCCCTAGGGCCTCGAGGTCTAGGGAGCCTCACAAAGCAATGAATTCCGTTTTTAAATGGAATTTATTAAAAGTAACAAAATTACAATTAAAAAGTAAAACATCTTAAACGAATTAGTGAATTTAAGCTATTTGCAAGGGTGTGGTGGCAAAATTTTTGCTCGCTTCGCTCGCAAGAGGCATTGTTTTTTCCATTTCCTCCCCTCCTTAGGGCCTCCTAAACTTCATCACACCTCACCACAAAATAAACCGTACACCACAACTTTTCTCTATTGATCAGTTTCCCTTGTCTGGCGTACAATTTTTACAGATTTACTAACTGCTCATATTTTCGGTGTACCTAAACAAATGCCCCGGTGGACCTTTAATGAAGTTTAATTAGTGCCCTTTTTGTTTCTTGGACCCCTGCCCTCTGAAATTTCTGGTTGCGCGCCTGATGTCATTGGTCCTATTACACCCATTTTCAGTTCCTTTTTATTTTTCCATTTTATAATATTTATACGGGTTAAAGGTTCATACATATATATGTTTTTCAACCTGACCTGTTTAAAAGATTAAAATAAGCACTAATACTAATAACAAAAGAAATTTATTAACCTAACCTAATTTACAATATTATATAAAACTAAGGCTATAAAAGGTTTCAGTATACTTTGAGCTGAAAAGAATTTTCCTTTCCTTTGAGTTCATGACTGCTTTGAATATCGACAGAAAGGATAAGCGACAAATGTGTCAATTTTCTTGGCAGGCATGTGGGTTTCATCCGCGCAAGAACAAACTGTACTTAAAATCATGACCAGTTTTAAGAGAATTCAGCACTTGCCATTCAAGAATAACTGTGTATATTATCTTAACATATTAAATCCACGGGGAATACTCGC